AAACCCATTCAGTCAGCAATGAAGGGTTGGTTTTGTGCTTTGAATTGAGCAATTGGCAGTCAAATTGTCATTTGTGGATATTGACTGAATGCGTCGCTCCTCTCTGGGGAAAGAGACTCACTCATTTTGCATCTAAATTTGTTTACCAACTAAAAAGCAATCACATCATTAAAAAATGAATCCTGTGATACATTATATATGATGAAAGGCGGTGAAACACAATCCTTCCTAGAAGCTGAGGATTGTTTCCCTCAGCACTTACAAGCAAAAACACGAACAGGTGACAAATTAATGGAAATGAAAACACAAGCTATGTCGGTGCTTGGTGGTTTGACAGACGCTCGAAATCTCCCAGGTATTCAGATATCCGATGACGTTGCGTGATAATCTTCACCGTCATCAGAGCATTCAGTGGGGCCTCATGTCCTATCATCCCGGGAGAAACCATTCCACTCAGGACAGAATAATTGGTGTATATAATAATTTGACTTGCAATGACCGTTCTGTCTCAGCGGCCAAGAGAACCCAAACCATGGCAGCAAAATGCTCTCACTGAATAACACAACCATCAGATCCCCTCACTGTTGGTGTCAAGGGTTCAATCTTTCACCCACGTGGACTAGAGACGTTCCTTTTTCACAGGGTCCAATATTGTCCACAGTCGCGTTGCTCAGTAACTAAACCAGACTTTAAATACAACAGCAATGATTGGCTCTTTGTGCTGTGCACATACAAAGTCAGGTTAGTCCTCCCTTGCAGGTTTGCATTCACTCACGCCTGCATTGCCTGTTTACAACGTTCTGTTACAAATACAGACGAGAACATTGCTGCAACAGAGACAATATTTCAAAGAGGAGAAAACCTGAACGAAGGTCTAGTGAAGGCCTGTAAGAGTCTACTTGTCACACACATGCCTAGTCTATATTTTGGCATTTGATGACTCTGATAGCATAAAAGGGATTATTTCCAAGTTTCAAAGTTTGTACTAGCTAATAATAATCCAACAACCTATGAAGCGAGAAGCCTTTACACTCCCTTCCCTTCTCAAACTCTAAATCCCATAAGTGCTATTAGCTTCTGGTAGACTCATCTAAACACCATTAGCAGCCATCCACTATAAGTTTTCATTGCCTATAAAACCATTGTTACTGCTGAGAAGCTGCAGTGCTGGTCTGCTCTGCTTTATAGCTGCTGCTGCAGATGCTTACACTGCCCTTACCTCTGCTTTAAGAGGCAGCACACGTCCTTGAAACGCTTGTTTTGTGCTGGCAAACAGATGTGTCCTTGGTCAGCATGAGCCTAATATACAATATAAGGGTACACAACACAGGACACAGACAGGATACCTTCACACTGATATTCATGGTGCTATTATACCTAACCTTGTACAATGTAAGATGCTCCACAAAGAACTCCAGTAAAACAGACACCACATTGTAGTTAGTCCTCAGTTTTGGTGTTATAATTTACCCACACGTCTTGAGTTTCATGCAGTCTCTCTTCTTTCTTTCTCTGCTTTCTGCTGTTTCTTGCAATCAGCAGTAGCGCTGAGTTTATTATTAAAGGGGTTAAAGGCAGGATAGAGCATGCAGGACAGAGAACAGCCAGCCACTGCAAGCAATTAACTGAGCTATTCTCACAGGCACACAATCTGATATTACATGAACTTCATGCTCAGTAGCTGGCAGGTTAAAAACAATTTGATGTCCAATTGTGCTGAAACGTGCACTCTCAAATGATGCTCAGTGAGGTCATTTATGTGAAAGATCAGGCTGCTGCACAGGTGTGAAAATGCTGCACATTATTATTATGTGGTGCCTACTCGAACTGAACCGGAACAGAGCACTGTGCTAATGCTCTGTTTATATCACAGGCAAAATGTGAAATGCAAGGTTTGCAGATCTAGAGATGAATACAAACTCATGGCTTTAATGCTGTCATTTTACTTTCCACTCAAAAGACCACTCACCCCAAATCCAAAGCACAAATGTCGCACACAGTTTACACTCTGAGTGCAACAGCAGGGCGCAGTCTGTACTCAGGGAGTGTAAACTGTAGTTGGGCTGAAGTTGGTTTGATTGGTTTGACACCAGATTCTTACTGGCCCAAAAGATTTTTCCATTCATGGCATAAAATCCTTTTTTTTCTCTCTTTTTTTTGTTTGCAGACTTTAAATCATTCAGTTCATGATTTAAAGTCTGCAATGTTTATGGGGAACTTCATTTGTAACCTTAGGGTGTGCTTTAAGGTGTGCCTGCCTCATTATGAGGATGTAGGGTTTCCCTCGGGTCTCACTTATGTCCGAACCTCACTCATTGGTGAAAACACCAAGACTGCACCATCGAAGTAGCTCAACATGAGGCACCACGATGGAACTAAAGTAAAGGTTGGTATCGTCATAGTGGCTTTTATCTGCTTACAGGTAAAAAGCTCAATCAGCACTTCCCGTGCTAACAAACCCAACAACCTGTCTGTAACCGCTAACACGTTGTACCTGTTGTATGACCAGTTTCATGTTTTATACAACTTCAAACACTCATCGTGTCACTTTATATGTCTCAGTTTCTATCAATATACAAAACTCTCCCCTAACCCCCCCCCCCCCCCCTCTTTGACATGCTTTCCCTAGCTACTTACCCTAACCATTAGCTAAACCTAACCATAACCCAACTGTAACACTGACAATGAAAACACATTTTGAGAAAAATGCCATCAAACTTGTGGGGGCGGCTGTTTTGTCCCCATAAGCGACCCCACAAGTATAGTGGCATGCCAATTTTCTGTCCACACAAAGATATCTAAACATGTACACGCACACACGCGTACAAAAAACAGCATCATGCTCATCACACATTCTTCGCGTGCTCTGTCAATATACAGTGGGGCAAAAAAGTATTTAGTCAGCCACCGATTGTGCAAGTTCCCCCACCTAAAATGATGACAGAGGTCAGTAATTTGCACCAGAGGTACACTTCAACTGTGAGAGACAGAATGTGAAAAAAAAATCCATGAATCCACATGGTAGGATTTGTAAAGAATTTATTCGTAAATCAGGGTGGAAAATAAGTATTTGGTCAATAACAAAAATACAACTCAATACTTTGTAACATAACCTTTGTTGGCAATAACAGAGGTCAAACGTTTACTATAGGTCTTTACCAGGTTTGCACACACAGTAGCTGGTATTTTGGCCCATTCCTCCATGCAGATCTTCTCGAGAGCAGTGATGTTTTGGGGCTGTCGCCGAGCAACACGGACTTTCAACTCCCGCCACAGATTTTCTATGGGGTTGAGGTCTGGAGACTGGCTAGGCCACTCCAGGACTTTCAAATGCTTCTTACGGAGCCACTCCTTTCTTGCCCGGGCGGTGTGTTTTGGATCATTGTCATGTTGGAAGACCCAGCCTCGTTTCATCTTCAAAGTTCTCACTGATGGAAGGAGGTTTTGGCTCAAAATCTCACGATACATGGCCCCATTCATTCTGTCCTTAACACGGATCAGTCGTCCTGTCCCCTTGGCAGAAAAACAGCCCCATAGCATGATGTTTCCACCCCCATGCTTCACAGTAGGTATGGTGTTCTTGGGATGCAACTCAGTATTCTTCTTCCTCCAAACACGACGAGTTGAGTTTATACCAAAAAGTTCTACTTTGGTTTCATCTGACCACATGACATTCTCCCAATCCTCTGCTGTATCATCCATGTGCTCTCTGGCAAACTTCAGACGGGCCTGGACATGCACTGGCTTCAGCAGCGGAACACGTCTGGCACTGCGGGATTTGATTCCCTGCCGTTGTAGTGTGTTACTGATGGTGACCTTTGTTACTTTGGTCCCAGCTCTCTGCAGGTCATTCACCAGGTCCCCCCGTGTGGTTCTGGGATCTTTGCTCATCGTTCTCATGATCATTTTGACCCCACGGGATGAGATCTTGCGTGGAGCCCCAGACCGAGGGAGATTATCAGTGGTCTTGTATGTCTTCCATTTTCTGATGATTGCTCCCACAGTTGATTTTTTCACACCAAGCTGCTTGCCTATTGTAGATTCACTCTTCCCAGTCTGGTGCAGGTCTACAATACTTTTCCTGGTGTCCTTCGAAAGCTCTTTGGTCTTGGCCATGGCGGAGTTTGGAGTCTGACTGTTTGAGGCTGTGGACAGGTGTCTTTTATACAGATGATGAGTTCAAACAGGTGCCATTCATACAGGTAACGAGTGGGGGACAGAAAAGCTTCTTACAGAAGACGTTACAGGTCTGTGAGAGCCAGAGATTTTCCTTGTTTGAGGTGACCAAATACTTATTTTCCACCCTAATTTACGAATAAATTCTTTACAAATCCTACCATGTGGATTCATGGATTTTTTTTTCACATTCTGTCTCTCACAGTTGAAGTGTACCTCTGGTGCAAATTACTGACCTCTGTCATCATTTTAGGTGGGGGAACTTGCACAATCGGTGGCTGACTAAATACTTTTTTGCCCCACTGTAACGGCAAACACAAACACACAGACATTAGCAACACGCATGTAGCTATCACTTCTGTGTGTGTGTGTGTGTGTGTGTGTGTGTGTGTGTGTGTGTGTGTGTGTGTCAGACAGCAACAAAACTGACAGATGTGCAACAAAGTACAGCAGTAACCTTCTAACCTGTGCTGGCTTCAGAATGACAGAGGCATTATGAGTGTGCGGGTGGTGTGTGTGCTGTATTTGTCCGTGTGTTAGCCTTGTTAAAGATCCATTTCAATTCTGGAAGATTCAATATTTATCAAATAGAGACGCAGGTGTCTGCCTGCGGGATCTGAAATTACCACAGAGGATGAACGAGAAATGGAAAGAGAGGTAGGAAGAGAGAGAGGGGAGCTTCTGTAGCTTCTCCCCAGACCTCTGATCATTCCTATGCTTAAGTGGGTTTCAAGTGGTGCATTTAGAAAAAACTCAGTAAGAACAGTCATACTCTGGACCCCCGGTGGAAGAAACCATAAGTTACTCTGCAAAAGCGATCCTACCTGCTTCAGAGGGTTTCAGTATCTCTTCAACAATGTCAGCCTCTCACGACGAAGTACGGTAGCGATGTGATGACTCGATCAGGAACAGCCTGAAAAAAAAGAAGATTTTCATTGATTAAAAATCTTTTTTTGGTTAATTAAAATGAGAATTCAATGTCATGTAAAACCTTATCTGCCAAGTCTCAATGCAGGCTCAATCATCCAGGCAAGGAAGTCCCAAAAAGTTGATTCTGTTCACCTGGATATAGATATTTCGCGCATCCAGGTAATAATAATAATACTAATACTAATACTAATACTACTACTACTAATAATAATAATAAACAGTACAGTGTGGTGAAAGTGGTGAAAATGCTACGTCCAGATGAACAGAATCAACTTTTCAGGACTTATCTGCCAAGTTTTCAGGTTCTTGGCATCGATACACAAAAACCAACTGCAGTTACAAACAAGCTGCTTTTAAGCAAACACCTTTTGAGAAGCTGGGAAAAAATAACTTTTTCACAATAATATAGTTTCAGAAGATCTTTGACAAATATACTGAGGCTGGACATTTTATACCTCAAGAATAAACTCACTTATTAAAAGTAGCTACTACCTGTCTGCTCGGCCTCACCTCCATTAATCTGTGTCACTAATTATCATCATTATCAATTATCACTAAAGTCATAATTTAGCACTCACATCTTACACAAATATATTCCATTCTGGATCCAGTAAAATCGAAACAAAAAAACTGAAAAAGAGAATGAAACAACAGCACAAAAGATTAGGTAGAGTTGAAAAACAATGTATGATAATAATAATAATCTATTCATTCTCTTCCGCTTATCCTTTGTCAGGGATGCAAGGGGCTGGAGCCAATCCCAGCTGTCTTAGAGAGGCAGGGTACACCCTGGACAGGTCGCCAGTCTGTAGCAGGGCTAACACATAGACACAGACAATCATTCACACTCACATTCACACCTATGGGCAACTAACCTATCCCCACTAACTGCATGTCTTTGGACTATGGGAGGAAGCCACAGTACCCAGAGAGAGCATGCAAACTCAAAGATCCTGGAACGGTGGAATTGAACTTAGGACCTTCTTACTGTGAGGAAACGGTGCTAACCACCATGCCCAATAATAACAACATTAATAATAATAATAACTTTATTTATATAGCACTTTTCAAAACACAGAGCTACAAAGTGCTTCACAGTTCAAATAACACTAACCTATAAAATCGAGTTTTCAGCATTCATAAAACAAACAACGTGAGCCGACCTGACTGTCTGAGGAAGGCTGTTCCACAAAAGCCTCAAAAGCACGATCACTCCTGGTCTTAAAATCAGAGCATCAAAGCAAAATGATGTCACAGTAGCTATAAAGTTAACATGGAGGTGATTTTAGAGCCCTTCATGGCTGTTGCCATAGTGGCCACACCATGTTACTACAATTTGATTCCATGACCCAAAAATAACTTTTCTCTTAATTTGGTTGATCGTGGCTCAAGAGTTGGCAGTTCATCTTGTAACCGGAAGGTTGCTGGTTCTAGTCCCGGCTCGGACAGTCTCGGTCGTTGTGTCCTTGGGCAAGACACTTCACCTGCCGCCTACTGCTGATGGCCAGAGGGGCCGATGGCGCGATATGGCAGCCTCGCTTCTGTCAGTCTGCCCCAGGGCAGCTGTGGCTGCAACTGTAGCTGCCTCCACCAGTGTGTGAATGTGAGAGTGAATGAATAGTGGTATTGTAAAGCGCTTTGAGGGGCCGCTATATAAATGCAATCCATTATTATTATTATTACTAATGTGAAAAAGGACTCTGTTTATCACTCGAGTATATTCCATCTGGTCTGCTGACATTTGGAAAGTATAGATGAGCTGTATGATTTTGCAGAGAGCCAGCAGGAAGTCAGCTAGCTTGGCGGGAAGAAATCTGATCTGAGCATGTTCTCTATGGGCTTCACTTAGAAAAAGCAACACTGTAGAAGCCCGTGTTACGTCATGGTACCAAATGGAGGAAGACTGGAAAGTTTTTTTTGGCGTCTGCATCATTGAGCAGCTGTCATTTGAATGCATGAGGCTTTTGGCTGTTTGTGAAGATAAAAAACAAACTCCGCAGCGCAGTATGGTGCTTCTGCATATTCTACCTTTTACAAGTTGAAAATTCACGTCGACTTGTTCCCTGCTCGCAATAAAGTGCAAACATTCAATAAAGATTGTGAATCGGGATTATGAGGTCACACATCAAACATATAGCTTTGTGTGATGTGACTGGATTAACAAGACAGAAGAAGATCTAAATGATCATGAGAGATTGAGGTCTATTCAGCAGTTAGAGATGATCCCCTTCACTTAATCTCGCTAACATCAGAATCAAACGCCACCCCTTGTCTTCAACACCCGGCAGCTGCGCGTGAATAAAAGCAAAGCGTCCTCCCTCTCGCTCTCTCCCAGAGTGCTGATATCGATGATGGCACAGCGAGGATGTCAGCGTTTCACTTTTAAATGAGCAAGTCAGGATGCTAGAGTGTCAGCTCCAAAGGAAGCCCTTTGTACTGCAGAGGCCAATATGCCTGGTTAATGAGACTGTGGCTCAGACCCGGACAGTGAGGCCTTGTGGGAAGAATGCTGCCGCTCCTCTGGTCTTATTAAGATGAGAGGAGAGATAAGTAGATGGGAGAGAGTAAGTCTGTCCAGCCCTCCACTGTATATAATCTGTCTGCTGACATTGTGCTACATTCAACCGTAATTACGCTTTGGGAGGAGTCGTCATCCACAGTGGGAGACGTGATACTGAGGATAATCATGCTCATAATGATAACCAGAACTTTACAAGATCTGATCTAAAGGCGGCTACAGAGATTTTCAGCAACTGTTTTGAATGCCACACTGTGCAACATCGATTTAAAGACTCGGGTTTGATATATAAAGTGTGGATTGGCATTTTGAGCAAACTCACCACTGAGTATTTGCTCTCCATGATTGTTGGTATATACTGTAGAGTATGGACTGGACCTTCTGGCTGAGAAACTGTGGGAAATTACACATGCATGTGTCTGTGAAGGTTCTCAGTCATCCAGGTCATCGTAGTCAAAGGAGCTTGCAAAGAAAAGCGTCTGGACTTCTTTAAGTTGCTTGAAGACCAGAAAAGAAGACCAGACACCAGCGAGGGAGGATAAGAAGGACAGACGCAACAACATTGTCATCCCCTATGTAGCCGGTGTATCAGAAAAACTCAGGAGAGTTTTCTCCAAGCATGACATCCCGGTGCATTTCAGACCCAGCAATCCCACTCACATCCTGGGCCATCTGACCTCAGGAATTCGCATGATAAGGTGGGGCCAGGTTTCACAATGAACTCACCCGAAACTCTGGCTGATTGGGACCCACACCCAGTTTCACACCTTGGCTCAGGCGATTAGAGGATCATCAGGGGGTCCTTTTGTCCCTCTGTGGGGGGAAACTCCCACTAGGTTTATATCTGGGACTCTCCACCATTTGACCTTAGAACTGAAGAAGCTTCTCGGATGAGAGGTGAAACGTCTTCAAGCAACTCAAAGAAGTCCAGACGCTTTTCTTTGCAAGCTCCTTTGAACACATGCATGTGGCAGGGTAAGCCCACCATAAAGCATACCTGCTTAATTTTTTCCTTTTAACTAATAATAACCATAATTTATGAAATGAATGCCATGCTGCATTTAGTAAGACTAGAAAATAGCAACTGAGACCAGAAGAAAACATGTCAGAAATTACAGTTTTTTTCCATGGACTTCTGGAGTTGCCCCCTAGTCTTTACTTTGTCTTTACTTCTTAGATTTGGAAACTACATCCAGCTTTATTCATGCAGTCTGTGGTAAAAAGAAAGAAAACGCACAAATAGTTGCATAAACAATTTGATTTTTTGCATCCATCATTTAATGACTATTCACTTATTCAAACATCATGACCTTCTGTACGATTTAAAATGTAGATCTGCATGGTGATTCTCTAATATCTGCTGTTTCACAGCCTATGATGAGTGTGCACTTCCTTGTTTCCTCCGATGCTGCGTCCTACTTAACTTTCACGATAACACCTGGAGGACACATGCAAACAAACAATGTGCCAAAACTATTATTTGTTCTTCTTTGTTGAAAGAAGTCTTTCACTTTGCATTTTTTGCCTCCATTTATTCTATTCTGATTTTTTAAAGTATTTCACCGTTGCACCAGTGTCACATTAATTAGTCCCACTGTGAGATCATTATTCTAACTTTTGCCCTTGATCAGAACAGGAGGGACTATAACAATGGCCAACTTCTCTCATAGTGCAGCTGGAGTGGTGACCAATGATACCACCACAGTTCTGTCACACTGGTCATCTTTCATCATGAACAATGAAAAATGGCACAGTTTACTTTCAGCTTTATACATCTTTAATACATCAGATAAAGAGAATGTTATTATTTTTTCTTCAAAAGCACTGGCTTTTGTTCAAAGTCTATAATTTATCCATAATTCACTGATTACAACAAGTCCTTTGAAATTAAACATGACACTGGCAGCTTGCTCTCACCAAATAAAAATGATCTGTAGGAGTCCAGAATTAGTGGACCAGCCAGCAGCAGCATTTTTGCTCACCTAGCTTGGTGTGGGTTTGTCCTCAACATTACATTAACAGAAATAAAGTTAAAGCCACTGAACTGCTTTGGTAAAGGAATAAAAAACAATTTAGCAGAAATTCCACTGTTTACCTGATCAGTTCATTCATGTAAAGCTCCTCCTATATGGACTTTGTGGCTGTAAAATCTTATAACCGCAAGTCTTTTGTCTTTCTCCGATCATAATGACTATGGCCACTAGTTAAACAGAAACAATGGGTCACAATAAACTGCTCAAATAACCTAAAGAGTTGGAGAGAAACTTGCTGTGATGTGAGTCAATCACTCTGTCCAATTCAGTTCCAAATAGTCATGTTTGCAAGTGAATTGGCTACACGGACTGACTCCATTGCATGAACTTATAATTTGGCGTCTCTATTCATTCATTCATCTAACCAGTTTCTTCTGCGTATTCAGTTCAGCCTCACTGGGTTGACATCCCGCTGCAGGGCTAACACAGAGA